GCTGTAGATCCAGGACTGAGGCTGTAGATCCAGGACTGAGGCTGTAGACCCAGGACTGAGACTGTAAATCCGGGACTGAGGCTGTAGACCCAGGACTGAGGCTGTAGACCCAGGACTGAGGCTGTAGACCCAGGATTGAGGCTGTAGACCCAGGACTGAGGCTGTAGATCCAGGACTGAGGCTGTAGACCCAGGACTGAGGCTGTAGATCCAGGACTGAGGCTGTAGACCCAGGACTGAGGCTGTAGATCCAGGACTGAGGCTGTAGACCCAGGACTGAGGCTGTAAATCCAGGACTGAGGCTGTAGACCCAGGACTGGGGCTGTAGACCCAGGACTGAGGCTGTAGACCCAGGACTGAGGCTGTAGATCCAGGATTGAGGCTGTAGACCCAGGACTGAGGCTGTAGATCCAGGACTGAGGCTGTAGACCCAGGACTGAGGCTGTAGATCCAGGACAGAGGCTGTAGACCCAGGACTGAGGCTGTAGACCCAGGACTGAGGCTGTAGATCCAGGACTGAAGCTGTAGATCCAGGACTGAGGCTGTAGATCCAGGACTGAGGCTGTAGATCCAGGACTGAGACTGTAGATCCAGGACTGAGGCTGTAGACCCAGGACTGAGACTGTAGACCCAGGACTGAGGCTGTAGACCCAGGACTGAGGCTGTAGACCCAGGACTGAGGCTGTAGATCCAGGACTGAGGCTGTAGATCCAGGACTGAGGCTGTAGACCCAGGACTGAGGCTGTGGACATATACATTATGAACCATCAATATTGAATATTGAATAGAACCAGTGCAGGACCAGTCTTGGACCAGTCGGGACAAGTATAGGACCAGTATAGGACCAGTGCAGAACCAGTCCAGGACTAGTCCAGGACTGAGATAATTTCATAGAAATAAACTACATTTAGAAACAGAAAAAGTCACAAAGTTAAGAAGACAAAAACGTGCATAAGCAATACACTTCGGAAACTAAAAGCTGTCAAATTGACGGCTCTGGGAATTCTAGAGTTAAGGACTTGTGTATGAACTGTGCTGTGCAAATAAACTTGCCTTGATACAGAACAACAGCTCAATGACTTCTTTAATCCACAGCCACACACACCACAGAGATAAAGCCTGTCTCACATTTTCAGGATGACTGTGCTGGGTTTTAGCGGCATAGATCTGAAAATCTGACTCTGGGACCAGCATGAGTCCAGTCCCTGTGGACTGAGGCTGTAGATCCAGGACTGAGGCTGTAGACCCAGGACTGAGGCTGTAGATCCAGGACTGAGGCTGTAGATCCAGGACTGAGGCTGTAGACCCAGGACTGAGGCTGTAGATCCAGGACTGAGGCTGTAGATCCAGGACTGAGGCTGTAGACCCAGGACTGAGGCTGTGGACATATACATTATGAACCATCAATATTGAATTTTGTGACACAACAAAGAATGGTCAATATCAGGATTCATAATTGTCTGAGCTGAAGTTGGCTGGATGACACTGTGAACTTGAGCTGACACACACTGAGTTTGTCCTGGATTAGAAGAATGTCAATCGCGATGACGGTGGAGGTGGCAGACGGTGGCGGACGGTGTTCTTTCAGGACTAAACATGAGGAGGCAGTGTTTCAGATTCATGCAACTCTGGAACAGTCTTCTGGAAAATGTGAGACAGTCTTCTTCTCTTACAATGTTTGAATCCAGGTTAAAAAAAGTTTCACTGCAACAACTGAAGGATTGCATTGTTTATTTAATACTTTAATCCTTTTTTGATTTTAATGTCTCTTTTATGGTTTTGACTCAGTGTGACAGTGTGTTGCTATGGTAACCAGCACTTGCTCCAAGCTGAGATGGCTCTGAACCATCCCCAGACCAGTCTTGGACCAGTTTAGGACCAGTGCAGAACCAGTGCAGGACCAGCCCAGGACCAGTCTAGGACCAGAGCAGGACCAGAGCAGAACCAGTGCAGGACCAGTCTTGGACCAGTCGAGGACCAGAGCAGGACCAGTGCAGAACCAGTGCAGGACCAGGCCAGGACCAGAGCAGGACCAGAGCAGAACCAGTGCAGGACCAGTCTTGGACCAGTCGGGACAAGTATAGGACCAGTATAGGACCAGTGCAGAACCAGTCCAGGACTAGTCCAGGACTGAGATAATTTCATAGAAATAAACTACATTTAGAAACAGAAAAAGTCACAAAGTTAAGAAGACAAAAACGTGCATAAGCAATACACTTCGGAAACTAAAAGCTGTCAAATTGACGGCTCTGGGAATTCTAGAGTTAAGGACTTGTGTATGAACTGTGCTGTGCAAATAAACTTGCCTTGATACAGAACAACAGCTCAATGACTTCTTTAATCCACAGCCACACACACCACAGAGATAAAGCCTGTCTCACATTTTCAGGATGACTGTGCTGGGTTTTAGCGGCATAGATCTGAAAATCTGACTCTGGGACCAGCATGAGTCCAGTCCCTGTGCTCCCTCCTCATCCTCTGCACCGAACCTAAACCCCAAATCTCTGCAGACTTTTGGGCACGTGTCTGAGCTGTAATCCTCGCCTGACGTGCCGACCGTGGCGGCGTGGATCGGAGGGGCCCGCGAGCTGCGCCTTCACGCATGCTTAAGTCCAATTTACTCAGTCCACCTTCGCCACGAAACTTAAAAAGAGAACACCGTCCAAACGCACAACTCTTTCCCCATTCCCCGGCGTAACCTTTTCACCCAAAGATCCCGACACGGACCAGCGCTCGCGTCACATGGGATGACCGTAAAATCACAGCACTTTACATACGTTTGGATAGTGTGTGTCTCTGTGTGTGTCTCTGTGTGTGTGTGTGTCTGTGTGTGTGTGTGTGTGTGTATCTGTGTCTATGTGTGTGTGTATGTATGTGTGTGTGTGTATGTGTGTGTGTATGTATGTGTGTGTATGGGGGGGGGGATCTCTGCCTCAGTTCAAAAGGCTTTAGTCCCGGCAACGTGATTTGGGTCTGCGCCACCTCGGCCAATCACAGGCCGGATAGCAACATTAGCAGCCAATGGCGAACTCCCAGCTTCCTTCGCCGCGATGCCCTCCTTCCATATTCAGCGCGTCTCAATCTGCGCCCGGATTGTTGCATAACCCCCACCCCACACACACATACACACAAGTACACACACAGACACAGACACACACATGCTCACTCACCCGTTATGTTTCGGTGCCATACGGGGACGGTACGTTGACTTACATTGCGATGCTTGTCTCTGATCTCGACCTTAAAGGATGCATTATGGGAAATACAGCTTTGAGTTTTTTTTTTAACCTTGTTTTTTGTGTGTTCCCAGTGATGGTTGTGTGACTGTGCTGTTATATGAGCAGAAGTTAATTTCACCTACCACCTCCCCCCCCCCCCCCCCCCACTGTCTGTATGCATGGCTGTCCATCTCCGTCAAACATTTTGGTTTCAAATTTGTCAATGTGTTTTAGTTTTAATAAAAAATGTGGCATAACCTGAACATTAAACATTATTGTACCGTACGTAATTAAGAGCACAAAGATCAAATGTGTTTTTTTCTCCATGGATGTGTGATATTATGTGATGCTGCTTAAACCCATCTCTACATGGACTTGAGGCCACCTCCGGTACTGCAGCCTAAATCCACAGGGACTGTAAGGAGATTTCCCCACAGACCTCAGTGTTCTTCTGGTCTTGTGGAAGTAAAAGCTCCCACACCTCCTACACCTACTGCACAAGACCAGGAGAACCAGACCTGACCAGAACACCTCACTTCTGGTGATGTTTGGGATGACGTATGATGAGACCAGAGGCAGACATCTTGGAGAGACTGGTGGCAGACATCTTGAAGAGACCAGGGGCAGACATCTTGAAGAGACCAGAGGCAGACAGCTTGGAGAGACCAGGGGCAGACATCTTGGAGAGACCAGGGGCAGACATCTTAGAGAGAACAGGGGCAGACATCTTGGAGAGACCTGAGGCAGACATCTTTTAGAGACCAGGGGCAGACATTTTGGAGAGAACAGGGGCAGACATCTTGAAGAGACCAGAGGCAGACATCTTGGAGGGACTTGGGGCAGACATCTTGGAGTGACCTGGGACAGACATCTTGGAGAGACTGGTGGCAGACATCTTGAAGAGACCAGAGGCAGACATCTTGGAGAGACCAGGGGCAGACATCTTGGAGAGAACAGGGGCAGACATCTTGGAGGGACCTGGGGCAGACATCTTGGAGTGACCTGGGACAGACATCTTGGAGGGACCTGGGGCAGACATCTTGGAGGGACCTAGGGCAGACATCTTGGAGAGACCAGAGGCAGACATCTTGGAGTGACCTGGGGCGGACATCTTGGAGAGACCAGAGGCAGACATCTTGGAGAGACCAGTGGCAGACATCTTGGAGAGACCAGGGGCAAACATCTTGGAGAGAACAGGGGCAGACATCTTGGAGGGACCTGGGACAGACATCTTGGAGAGACCAGAGTCAGACATCTTGGAGTGACCTGGGGCAGACATTTTGGAGAGACATTTTGGAGAGACCAGAGGCAGACATCTTGGAAAGACCTAGGGCAGACATCTTGGATAGACCTGGGCAGACATCTTGGAGAGACCTAGGGCAGACATCTTGGAGAGACCTGGGCAGACATCTTGGAGAGACCTGGGCAGACATCTTGGAGAGACCTGGGGCAGATATCTTGGAGGGACCAGGGGTTGACATCTTGGAGAAACCTGGGGCGTAGTTTCTTGGTCTGTAACACTTTGGAGAATGCAAATGCACATCTGCTGAGAGGGTATTTTTTACTGACAAATGAAATAACTTGTTAGAACAAGTGAGACCTGAGACGTTCAAATTTAAGCAAACTTTTCACATGTCTGTACATGTGTTGATGAGGTGATAACCATGAAATGATCCAGAGCAGATTCATGATGTTGACCTAGAAAAAGTGTTGGATCTACATGTGGCGTCGGGGCCTGGGACCGTGGGAGACATGTAAGCACAGCCCATCAGGCTGTGCTTACATGAGTGAGAGGGTGAGGAGGGGGTGTGTCAGCACTTCCCTATGTCCCCCAGGACCTCAGCTACTCCCTCAGCCCTCCTCCTGTTTGATGCTGCTGCTGCTGCTGCGTCAGTGCTTCACACCGGAGCGGAGACGGAGCACTTATTTGGAACTACGGCACGTCTGCTGGGTTCCCACGCCAGCCCCGGACAGCGGGTCAAGACGGTCCAGTTAATCTCACTCCATAACTGTGATGACTCAGCTCTCAAAGTGAAGAGAAGAACAAATTAAGAATCGTCACCATCTTTGCCACAAAATCAACTCATGTTTAATATAATATCAATAACCTTTTATAGAGAACTTTTTCAGGTTATGTCCCCTTTAAACATGCTTTATACGAATCAAACAGTTCAAACATAGGAAATTCAATATTAACTAATACATAGGAGCCGTTGGTACAAAGGGAGCGGGATGACCACTGCCCAGAAATGGTATTAAATGTCCATTAAATGTCCCAGATTAGGCTGAGGCTGTAGACCCAGGACTGAGGCTGTAGACCCAGGACTGAGGCTGTAGACCCAGGACTGAGGCTGTAGACCCAGGACTCAGGCTGTAGATCCAGGACTGGGACTGTAGATCCAGAACTGAGGCTGTAGACCCAGGACTGAGACTGTAGATCCAGAACTGAATTCAGAATTCCAATGGTTTGCATGGGAGCAGTCAAAATGTCGGCCCTGGGAGTTCCTGTAGTTTCATAATGGTGGGTGTCCTTTGACGCTATGGTGTTGATGACGACCTGCACGAGGACTGAACCCTGCACTGCCATAGTCACTTTTTAAATGCACATAAGATATCTTTATTGCACATAATATACCCTATAGTGTTTTTTCTTACATATTTCCTGTCTTTTTTGCACACCCTGAGTTTGATCCTATTGATGCCAGAGCAGAGTTGTCAGATGACTGCTTTATGTAAAAATGTAAAAATCAATGAATGTCTCATATATTTTAACGATAGCATTTATTTTGTCCATATATTTGTAATTAAGTTAAGTATCATTTGTTAGTCTAGAGAAAGCCAGATCCTGTCACACCTCTGAAGCTTTGCAGGGCGGGGCCTGGTTAGTGCTGTGATGGGAGACCTCTGGGAACACCGGCAGCCACAGTGCGGCGGCTGTAAAGTGCCAAACTGTTATTGTGTCCTTAGGCAACACACTTCACCCACATTAGAATGAATCTTGTGGTGTGTGCTAGAGGTCTGAGGGGAAGACGGCACATACTGGTTGCCTTGCTTCTGTCAGTGTGCCCCAGGGCAGCTGTGGCTACAATATTACCGCCGTGTTTGGAGTGAAACAACACTGACATGTGCAGCGTCTTTGAGTGTCCAAAAAGCAATATATAAAACCATTACATTATTTAAAAACTCCAACCTTTGCATGATGGCTTTGGATATTGATGCCAAATGTAGCTTGTAAGTTTCTCGACTGTGAGAACAATAAAGTTTTTTTTCTCTTTACTTACAAGATATGGCGTTTTCAAAATGTGCTTTGTGCCCATAACCTTCTTTACAAAAACCCACTTCCTCTTCTAACCATATTCTGCACAGGATGTTTTCGTGGGTGTGGGCCGGGGCAGTGACTTCTGAGAAAACCTAAAAATACAGCATGTGACATCACTCTGGCCCCGGCTCCAAAGGCAGCCCTCTGTGGAACCTGGACCATATGCCCCCGCTGCGCGCCTCACCTGTCGCTGCTTATTTTGGATTTCTCTGAACAACAAAACAAACGTCTCCGACCAGTGTTTAAAAGCACATCTCGCAGTTTAAAGATGAAGATGTGCTTTATTTGTCCCATAGCGGGGAAATGTCAGTGTTGCAGGAATGAGGAGCACACAGCACAAGATAAATGAACAATAACACAAACTAAAATAAAATGAAATCTCTAACTTAGCATAATAAAGGAGCCAGTTTTAAAGTAGCAATGTGTAAGATTTTCAACTAAAGTCATCATTAATACAATACAATAGAATGTATTCTTGTATAGCCCTAAATCACAACAGAAGTCATCTCAGAGACTTAACAGAACCAATGAAATCACCAACACAGATCAGAGAATCAACAGTTAAGACACATGAAGAATATAGAACACATGTTGAAAAATGTCCATCATTAAAGGGCCCTAATCTGTCAAAAAAAGGTTCTGTTCAAACACTTCTTTAATACTGAAAACAGTAGTTCAGAGATAATTGAATTTCATTGAATCAAGACCCAGGACTGAGGCTGTAGACCCAGGACTGAGGCTGTAGACCCAGGACTGAGGCTGTAGATCCAGGACTGAGGCTGTAGATCCAGGACTGAGGCTGTAGATCCAGGACTGAGGCTGTAGATCCAGGACTGAGGCTGTAGACCCAGGACTGAGGCTGTAGACCCAGGACTGAGGCTGTAGATCCAGGACTGAGGCTGTAGATCCAGGACTGAGGCTGTAGATCCAGGACTGAGGCTGTAGACCCAGGACTGAGGCTGTAGACCCAGGACTGAGGCTGTAGACCCAGGACTGAGGCTGTAGATCCAGGACTGAGGCTGTCGATCCAGGATGAGATCTCCAGCCTCGGTCCTGGACTCAGCTAAAATACTTTCTGGTGATACGGCCCTGAAGTGCATCTCTGTGGATTTTGTGACTTTTTGCTGTTAATGACATCGGGTTTGTACTATTATTCACATCCAGAATCTGTATTATTTCAATTCGTGCTGTTTCGTATTATTTCAATTCAATGTATTTTTGTATCGCCCTAAATGACAACAGTAGTAATCTCCCAGGACTTCACAAAACCGTCGATTCGCCAACGCAGATCAGAGAATCAAACCGTTCAAACACCAGAAATACAATAATGAAAAACACATAAAGCCGTTGGTCCATAAGGAGCACAGACCAATATCCATAAATATTGATAAAGTCCTGGACCATCGCCTCTGTCATTAGACCCGGTTCACATTAGACCCGGTTCACATTGACCCGTCTCCCCTCGTGCAGAGTCATGGCCCCTCCCCCTGTGCACCGTCACCTCCGGGGCCCCAGCTGTCCCGACACACGCCGATCCTCCAGAGACATGACCCCGCCCCCCCCTCTGGAGACCACCCTGACCTGCACCTTGGACCTTGGAGCCCTGAGCCCCCTCCCTGAGCAGGTGCACCTCATCTCATATGCAGATTGCGACGCGTGTCTCTCTCTGATTAAGGCGCGGACCAAGCTTGCTCCACAGCTGCTAATGCCAAACCAGCTCTTATCCATGTGCGCCGGCTAACACGCGGGTCGGTGTGTTAGCATTGTGACTTTTCCTCTTTCTATAAGTGGTTTGTTTCTATGTCATTGTCCATCCATCCATTTTCTACCCTTTAATCCATTTCTGGGTCAGGGGGGTGGCAGTCAGAGATGCCACCCAAGTCTCAGAGCACCAGCCCCTCACTGACCTTCTGCAGGTGGTGAGTCCACAGGAGGACGGCTGCTCTCTGAGTGTGAGCATAGCCTTGATCACTATGTCATTGTTATTATTCTAAAATTGTCTTTTGAGATCTTTCTGCTCTAGAACTTGGTTTCAAAAATTGCTGTTTTCAGAGCTCCAAACCGCCAGCCTCTTGTGGATGACTCAGGGACTGGTCTCTTTCTGGTCTCTCTCTTGTTTCTCTCTGGTCTCTCTCTGGTCTTTCTTTGGTCTCCCTCGGGTCTCTCCGTGGTCTCTCTCTGGTCTCTCTCTGATCTCTCTCTGGCCTCTTCCCGGTCTCTCCCTGGTCTCTCTCTGGTCTCTCGCCCTGGTCTCTCTCTGGTCTCTCTCTCTGGTCTCTCTGTGGTCTCTCTCTGGCCTCTCTCTGGTCTCTCTCTGGTCTCTCTCTCTGGTCTCTCTCTGGTCTCTCTCTGGTCTCTCTCTGGTCTCTCTCTTGTTTCTCTCTGGTCTCTCTCTGGTCTTTCTTTGGTCTCTCTCTGGTCTCTCTCTGGTCTATCTCTGGTCTCTCCCTGGTCTCTCTCTGGTCTCTCTCTCTGGTCTCTCCCTGGTCTCTCTCTGGTCTCTCTCTCTGGTCTCTCTCTGGTCTCTCTCTGGTCTCTCTCTGGTCTCTCTCTGGTCTCTCTCTGGTCTCTCTCTGGTCTCTCTCTGGTCTCTCTCTGGTCTCTCTCTGGTCTCTCCCTGGTCTCTCTCTGGTCTCTCTCTCTGGTCTCTCTCTGGTCTCTCTCTGGTCTCTCTCTCTGGCCTCTCCCCGGTCTCTCCCTGGTCTCTCTCTGGTCTCTCTCTGGTCTCTCGCTCTGGTTTCTCTCTTGTCTCTCTCTGGTCTCTCTCTGGTCTCTCTCTGGTCTCTCTCTGGTCTCTCTCTGGTCTCTCCCTGGTCTCTCTCTGGTCTCTCTCTCTGGTCTCTCTCTGGTCTCTCTCTGGTCTCTGGGCTCTCTCTGGTCTCTCTCTGGTCTCTCTCTGGTCTCTCTCTGGTCTCTCTCTGGTCTCTCTCTCTGGTCTCTCTCTCTGGTCTCTCTCTCTGGTCTCTCTCTGGTCTCTCTCTCTGGTCTCTCTCTGGTCTCTCTCTGGTCTCTCTCTGGTCTCTCTCTGGTCTCTCTCTCTGGTCTCTCTCTCTGGTCTCTCTCTCTGGTCTCTCTCTCTGGTCTCTCTCTGGTCTCTCTCTGGTCTCTCTCTGGTCTCTCTCTGGTCTCTCTCTGGTCTCTCCTATAGTCTCTGTCCTGAAGCAGACGTGTCTATGATTAAAAGAAGAACTAAGTCCTAAAATGTAAGAACAAAACTTGACTCATACTGTTCTTCAAAAACACTCACTGTGAGATCCGACACACAAGTCAGACACACACAAATCAGAGACACACAAGTCAGACACACACGTTAGACACACACGTTTACTACACCAGCCAAAAGTTATTAATGACTCCTAATTAAATGCAACTTCACCACATGTGGCGCTGGTTCCATTAGCATCAGAGGACGTGTGTGTTTGTGCGTGTCTGTGTGTGTGAGTGTGTGTGTATGTGTGTGTTTGTGTGTGTCTTTATGTATGTTTGTGTGTGTGTATATGTGTGTGTATGTGTGTGTGTGATTGTGTGTGGGTGTGTGCGTGTATACTGTAGGTGTATGTGTGTGTGTATGCGTGTATGTGTGTGTTTGTGTGTGTCTGTATGTATGTGCGTGTATGTGTGTGTGCGTGTATATGTGTGTGTATGTGTGTGTTTGTATGTGTGTGTGTAGGTGTGTGTTTGTGTGTGTGTGTGTGTGTTTTTGTGTTTGCGTGTGTGTGTATGTGTGTGTCTGTATGTGTGTTTGTGTGTGTGTGTGTGTATGTATTTATATTTTTGTGTCTGTGTTTTTGTATCTGTGTGTACGTGTGTGAGTGTAGAAGCCGAGAGAGCCTTCCCCACATATCCATGGGTCCCGCTTCTGCTCAGTCATACAGAGCGCACGTGAGGCCCGGGCGTGCACGTGAGACCCGGGTGCGCGCGCGTACGTGTCAAGTGTGTCAGATGTGTGTGCGCGCTCTGTCCGCTGGGGATGCTCGCTATTCTGCCTCTGTCTCCAGCGCCTTCCACAGCCTTACATAAGAGGCGGTGCAAAAATAGCACTATGAGAGAGGGGGGGGGGGGGGGGGGGGGGGGCGGTTGGCACGCACAGAGTTAGAGCAGGACCGCAACTCGAGAGATGACACACACATACACTAATATGCACACACATGCATATATAAACAAACACACACGCATCTATAAACAAACACACACGTGCATACATATATATATAAAACTCACATACACACACACTCACACACATACACGTTTTTGTTACCTGGTGGGTCCCTTTGACAGGGCCGTTCAGAATGGGACCCATAGACATAATCTTTTTTTACCAAGACTTTAAGTAATACAAAACAGTCAATAGAAACCAAACAACTATTTTAAAGGAATTTTATTTTAGATTTTGTTTTCGAATTGCAGTGATTCTATTTTTGACATAGAATTTAATGCCACTCCATGTCCGATGTCTAAGGTCATCTGGTGAGGCATTAATGCAGGCCAGGCAGTGAGACTTCCCAGGGACCTTTCCAGTCTGTATGAAAGGTGTCATGGTCTTCTCCACAGCCTTCACCTCAGATGCAGACCATGGCTTTCTTACACGTTCTAGGGAGAGAAATAAAAATATATTAGCAATATACACTCCCAGGGTGAGGACCAAGCAGCCTGGCTGTAATCCCCCACCTGGTACACTTACCAGAAGGGGCACTGCCACTACCATAGGGTGTATCTAGATGAATGGTTGAAGGTTCTCCGCTTGAAGTTTCTTTTAGCCCGTCCGTTTGTGAGAGGATCTCTACTGCTCTCCCTGTCGCACAGAAAATAAAAATACAAGTGGCCTTTAGGGGAAAAAAATCATACATATTTTAATAATATCAAGAATTACCTTCAGGCTCAATTTGTATCTGGTCGAGGCTCTTTCCTTCGAATTCCGTCACTCTTCCCTGCTCCATGGCCATCAACACTTTGCTGATTTTGGCCAGCTCCAGTGTCCCCTCTGGTAGTCTGTAATATTGCCTGTGGATGCGAATGTCATGGCCGAGGAAGTTGGCAAGTATGTCCATCTCATTCTCTTTCATATTGAGAACTGTAGACATAGTAGCTATGTGCTTTCTAAGTTTGGTTGAGGATAGCATCTCTGGATGCACCGCACCACATTCTTTGGCTACCTGGCGTAGGGAGTCTGATCCCCTGATGTGGGTGTCTGCGCCCGGGCGGGAAAAGAAGTATGGGTTATGGTCAGAGATGGAACAGGCCCTTCTGTTCTCCACCAGCACCTCCATCGAAGCAATCATTTCAGGAGTCAAAAGAACCGGCACTTTCCGACTTCTTTTCCCTTTAATTTCAATGCGTTGAAAATGCTGACACAGCTTTTTCTCAAGTTGGGACAGTCCCAGAGCAATGTCAGAATGGATCCCAGTCTTACTTCTTAAGGTAAAGGCTGTCAGTGGCATCTTTGAAACCTCACCTTCCCTTCTTCGATTGAAAATGATGACCTCACAAAGAGTCAAAACTGCCAGTTTAGACCAATGCTTAGACGTTGGCTCACTTATTAGGGTTTGCACATATTCAGGTCGACATACCTCAATATGTGCATGCATGGCTCTAACGTCCTCAGTCAGAGGGAGCAGGTCCGGAGTGTTCCACTTGGCTTGCCGGAGGGTCTGTAGGGCAGCAGAAGAAACACAGACGTCCCACCTCTTCTCAAAAAGCAGCCGGCTTCGTTGGAGGTTTTTAATAAATAGTTCATCAACACAATGCTCCATTTTTGAGTCACATTCAAGAATATCTGCTAGCTTTCTGAGGCTATGGCCGAGTTTGAGGGCCAAGGATGGAGTCTTGTATTGATTTGTTTCCTCATCATATCCAGCCACAGACCTGACTGCATCAATCACATGGTTAAAGTTGGAAGGAATAAAGAAATCCTTAATTGTTTTCAGTTTCCCTGCGGTTTTTGCTTCGTTAATTAACCTACCGACTTCTCTCATTTTCTGCCTAATGTAATCATGCTTTGTCTTATCATGCCCGTGTTTTAAGTACAGGTGCTCTCCGAGTCTCAGAATCCCCTTTTCTGCTTTGACAACACCCGTGACCTCATCCTGATGCATTGCCGAAATTAAAGACCACAGCTTTTTGCTGATGCCCTCCGGTACAGGCTGGGCTAGGGAGCAGAGGGACTGGACCCTACTTCTACCTGGTTTAGCCTGGGCATCTTTCTGTGAAAGCCGGCACCTGGCCACATGCCTCCACAGCGACTTTCGCTTAAGCAATGCCCCCACAGTCTATACAGTGCAAAAACTCACTGGATTTAACTGGGGAATTTGGCTGTTTAGCTGGGACTAAAGTTCCAATGCCGGCCTTTAAAACCTCAAAATTGTGCTCACGGTTTCCACTATTCCTGATCAAATCAAACTGAAGTTTACGTGCTTTAGATTTCACAGGTAGAGCCAATGCTCTGGCTACGTCACTTTCATTTCCATGTTTTCTAGTCAAATGACGGGACATTTTGTGGCAGGACATTGAACAGTAGAGGCAGAAGTGTCTCTTGCTGTATACTCGCCCCCCATTTTTCTTCTTTTGCAGCTGCATGATAACAATCTTATTTGCCTTTGGTTCGTCACTTTCCGAGTCTTGAAGAAAAGTGTTTTTGATTTTTCTTTTTCCATACTTTTTTACAGGTTTCTTCTTGACAGTTAAATCGTCAGAATCTGAGTCGACTTCATCAATTAGGGACTCTTGACTAAGCTGCACAAACAACAAATAATTTGTAATCATTCTATATAACAATTTGAAGTCATGACTTGTAGTCAGCACTTACCAGTGGTTTGTAAGCGTGCGCTTCAGTGTGCTCCTCCATGATTTCTTGCAGCCTAATGAACCACACACTTGCACCTTTTTCTAGCCTGACACCTGATTTCCTCTGTTGTGCTGCTCCATGATTGGCTCCAGCCTGCTGGACTGAAATTGCCCCAGTGTGCCCCTCCTTGATATCCCGCAACCCACCACCAGGGTTCCGACACATAACACACTTTTTTCAGGAAAGTAAACCTCCAGGGGTCCTTTCCATATTTTTACAGAGACTGCATAAGGACCGTTGGAAAAGCATTACCCATTGATTATTAAGCTTGGACCAGTGGGGTCCGGTGTTCGGGCCCCACCACGTAAAACCAGTCCCCATGACGTGAGTGGAATCTCAGGTTATGGAACCCACCAGGAGTTGAAAACAAGTGCACACACACACACACACACACACACACACACACACACACAGAATACTTACTGAACACTGTTTCCTCAATTCAATGATTTGCACAAAATAGTGAAAAAAAATTACCAAAGGATTAGAACTGATTGTTTTGGGAATTTTGGGTTTTTAGATCTTTCCAGAATCTGGGTTCAAAATTGTGTGTTTTCAGACCTCCAAAAAACGCCAGATTTGTGCAGATGATGCACTGGGTCTGTCTGGTCTCTCTTTGGTCTTTCCCTGGATTCTCTCGGCTCTCTCTCTCTGCTCTCTCTCTACTATCTCTGCTCTCTCTCTACTCTCTCTCTGCTCTCTCTCTGCTCTCTCTCTGCTCTCTGCTTTCTCTCTCTCTCTCTCTGCTCTCTCTCTGCTCTCTGCTTTCTCGCTCTCTCTCTCTGCTCTCTCTCTGCTCTCTGCTTTCTCTCTCTCTCTCTCTGCTCTCTCTCTGCTCTCTGCTTTCTCTCTCTCTCTCTCTGCTCTCTCTCTCTCTCTCTCTCTCTCTCTCTGCTCTCTCTCTGCTCTCTGCTTTCTCTCTCTCTCTCTCTGCTCTCTCTCTCTCTCTCTCTCTCTCTCTGCTCTCTCTCTCTGCTCTCTCTCTCTCTGCTCTCTCTCTCTCTGCTCTCTCTCTCTGCTCTCTCTCTCTCTCTCTCTCTCTCTCTCTACTCTCATCCCCTAAACTCCAGCCTCATAAGGATAAAACACTGGATTGATAATGACACCTAGTCCTGGTTTTTGACTTCTCGTGGACAGGGTCTTTCATTGCAGTGGGGGCAATTTGGTTTCCCTCCCTGTCTTTTGTAAACGCACTCTTTGACTCCACAATTCTCCACCCCCCCCCCCCCCCGGCCCCTCCCCCTCCTGCTGCGTCTATATCCGTCCCATTTGTCTCAGTGCGTTCAAATTGGCCCCACACACGTCGCCACTTAATGAATATTTTTGGCTTTTGTGGGTGCATAGGTGTGACCCCGACACGTGTGTGTGTTGATGTGTGTGTGCGCGTGTGTGTGTGTGTGTGAGAGACCCGTGCCCCTCCCCCCGCCCCATTACCCTGCACTTTCCGAGGCCGGGCTCATGCATAATTCAGAGAAACTGGGAGGCGAGCATTAATTATTACTGCCGCCTTTGATGGATGGAGAAAATAACGAACGCTGGTTAAAAATGGAGCGGTTTTTTGCAAGCACTTTTTGGGTGGGATTTGTGCGTCTTTTGTGTGCGTCTCGGAATCTCGTCAAGCACCTCCTCGAAGACTGAAGAGCACTGCTGTGAAAGTGGAAGAAACAAATAATTTATTTGTATGACACATTTACAGTGACATTAGCGGCCGAAAGTGCCTCACATGGACCACAGGAAAGAGGTAAAACAGCAAAACAAAACGGTCTCAGCGAGTTTCCTCTGGTCTCTCTCTTGTCTCCCTCTCTCTGATCTCTCTCTCAGGTATCTCTCAGGTCTTTCTCTGATCTCTCTCTCGTACTCGCTCTGGTCTCTGTCTCTGGTCTCTCTCAGTTCTCTCTCCTTGGTCTCTCTCTCTCTCTCTGATCCCTCTCTCTGGTCTCTCTCTGGTCTCTAGTATCTCTCTGATCTCTCTCTGATCTCTCTCCAGTCTCGCTGGTCTCTCTCCAGTCTCTCTGGTCTCTCTCTGGTCTCTCTCTGGTCTCTGTCTGGTCTCTCTCCGGTCTCTCTCCGGTCTCTCTCTGGTCTCTGGTCTCTCTCCGGTCTCTCTCTGGTCTCTCTCTGGTCTCCGGTCTCTCTCTGGTCTCTGGTCTCTCTCCGGTCTCTCTCTGGTCTCCTTCTGGTCCTAATGACCCCTGTGTTGTGTGCAGGTATGAGGCAGCATGCAGACCTGGGCTCTCAGTATCGCTCTGTCATCTTCACGTCGAGTGCGGAGCAACAGCAGGTGGCGCTGCAGAGCAAGGAGGTCTACCAGCAGGTACCATGTGCACTGGGTCAGGGCCTCAGAGCCACATGGTCAGGGAAAACATTTAAACATACACAAGGAAAGGTCCCCTGGTTGGTTCTGTTTTTCCTTCTCTCTCTAGTCTCTCTCTGGTCTTTCTCTGGCCACTTTCTCTGTTCCCTCTCTCAGGTCTCTCTCTCTCTCTCTGGTCTCGCTCTCTAGTCTCTCTCTGGTCTCACTCTCTAGTCTCTCTCTGGTCTCACTCTCCAGTCTCTCTCTGGTCTCACTCTCTAGTCTCTCTCTGTTCTCTCTTCTCTCTCTTTAAACCACTTCTCAGTTGTCTGATACTTTGTTTTGGTCTTCCAGAGAAAATATTGAAGTCACTTCAGTAGTAAGAAAGTATTTTTGTATTTATATAGCACCTTTTCCAGACCATGGTCACCCAAAGCACTTTACAATGTTCAGAGTTCAAGTCTGTTCAGTTCTCGTCTCATAATAACATTTCAGACTCAGAATCGGGGGCGGCGCTTGAGGCGGACGTTCGACACAGTCACGGTTTACATATTATCAAAAGACACAAAGCAGGCGAGAGTCATGCATCAGCAACGTCCCTCTGTCCCATGGAGTCCCGGGACGTCTCTGGAGTCCTGACCTCAGAGCCCATCCACGCCACGCGCCGCTCACAAAGGCCCGAAGCGAGGTAGTTCAGGAGGGTCGATAGGTCAGCCTCACCCCTGACCCCCCCGTCCTCAGCCTCGCCCTCACCCCCCCTGTCCTCAGCCTCAGCCTGGATAGAACAAGGACCAAGAGGGAATAAAGAAGGACCTGGTACTGGTTACACAGGACCAGAGGAAACACTTCGAATCAGGGGAGAGTTGAGTAGGATAGAGAAGGGTAGAGTAGAATAGAGAAGGGTAGAGTAGAATAGAGTAGGGTAGAGTAGAGTAGAGTTGAGTAGGGTAGGCTAGAGTAGAGTAGAGTAGCGTAGAGTAGATCAGAGTAGGGTAGAGTAGAATAGAGAAGAGAAGAGTAAAGTAGGGTAGGCTAGAGTAGGGTAGAGTAGTGTAGAGCAGCTTAGAGTAGAGTAGGGTAGAGTAGAATAGAGTAGGGTAGAGTAGATTAGAGTAGGCTAGAGTAGAGCAGAGTAGAGTAGCATATAGTAGAGTAGGGTAGGTTAGAGTAGAGTAGCGTAGAGAAGAGTAGGGTAGAGCAGAATAGAGTTGGGTAGAGTAGGGTAGGCTAGAGTAGAGTAGAGTAGAGTAGGGTAGAGTAGAGTAGAGTCTCTCTTACGGCTCTTTGTTTTGAGCCTCTCATGGATCAGAACCAACAGTCGTGTTTTCGGTCCTGATTCTTCTCAGTTCAGAACTCCAGCGGTTCTCGACGTGTGTCTATTTTTGCTTCATCTCCAATCGAGACTCGAGAACAACACGAGTCTTCATTGAGGGGTATTGAGACGACCCCTGTGACCCGTGGGACCTGTGTGACCCCGACACGCGCCTCATCTGCAGATTGGGGACCACAGAGATTAGAGGCAGTTCAAACAGATACAGATTCAAACAATATAAGGTAGAGTAGAGTAGCATAGTGTAAAGTAGCATAGAGTAAAGTAGCATAGAGTAGAGTAGAGTAGAGTAGAGTAGAGTAGAGTAGAGTAGAGTAGAGTAGAGTAGAGTAGAGTAAGATAAGAGATAAACCTTTATTAGTCTCACAGTGGAGAAATGTCAGTGTCATCGTTGCACATTACAGCAGAGAAAGGAAATAAGAGCACTCAGATTGCACACATCAAAGTCTATTATTTAAGATAATAGACAATAAATGTAAGATAAAATAAAATAAAATAAGATAAACTCTGGGCTATAATTGCACTTGGTTCGGAGTATTTACAGATGTCTATATTATACATTAGCAGCGGAGAATATGAGCAGAATAAACACCAGAAATAATATCAACAGGTGAAGTGACTTGAATGGGGGAATTATCAGATATGTAATAATACAGTAGTACTGATAACAGTAAATATCAGATATGTAGTACTGTAGTAGTACTGATAACGGGTAAAGTGACTAGTGACAAAGTTACTAGTGAATTATCAGAAACACTTGTACAGACTCAGCAGTTCCTGTTACACATTCTCGTTGTACAGTCTGACAGCAGCAGGAAGGAAAGACCTGCGAAACCTCTCCTTCACACATCGAGGGTGAATAAGTCTATCACTGAAGCTGCTCTCCAGAGCAGAGAGAGTGTCCTGCAGGGGGTGACAGTCATGGTCCACATAGATGTTAGTTTGCTCAGGACCCTCCTGTCCCCCACCTGCTGCACTGTGTCCAGGGAACATCCCAGGACTGAGCTGGACTTCCTGATGACCTGTGATACTGCTGCTCCAGCAGACCACACCGTACAAGAGGCTGAAGCCACCACAGAGTCATAGAAGGTCTTCAGGAGTGGCCCCTGCACTCCAAAAGACCTGAGCCTCCTCAGTATGTAGAGGCGACTCTGGCCCTTCTTGAAGAGGGCGTCTGTGTTATGAGTCCAGTCCAGTTTGTGGTTCAGATGAACACCCAGGTACTTGTAAGAGTCCACTCTCTCGATGTCCTTTCCCTGGATGTTCACTGGAGCTGGAGCAGCAGAGTGACGTCTACGGAAATCCACCACCATCTCCTTGGTCTTCCCCGCGTTGATGAGGAGGTGGTTCCGCTGACACCAGTCCACAAAGTCCTGTAGAACTCCTCTGTACTCTGTGTCATCGTCCTCGGAGCTGAGTCCGATGATGGCAGAGTCGTCAGAGAACTTCTGTAGAACACAACCATCCGTGTTGTGTCTGAAGTCCGCAGTGTAGAGGGTGAAGAGGAACGGCGCGAGGACAGTTCCCTGGGGGGCCCCCACACTGCAGGTCAGGACCTCCGACACAAAGTCCCTGGTTCTCACAAACTGGGGTCTGTCTGTGAGGTAGTCCAGGATCCACTGGGACAGGTCGTAGTCCACACCGGCTGTCTCCATCTTGTCCCTGAGAAGCCTCGGCTGGATGGTGTTGAAGGCGTTGGAGAAGTCGAAGAACATAATCCTCACAGCGGTGCCGGGTTTCTCCAGGTGGGACAGCGAGCGATGGAGGAGGGAGATGATAGCGTCCTCGACTCCAATGCCCGGCCTGTAGGCGAACTGCAGCGGGTCCATCGCTGGGCTCAGAGTGGAGCGGAGATGTCCCAGAACAGAGTAGCATAGAGTAGAGTAGAGTAGCATAGAGTAGAGTAGCATAGAGTAGAGTAAAGTAGAGTAGAGTAGCATAGAGTAGAGTAGAGTAGAGTAGCATAGAGTAGAGTAGCATAGAGTAGAGTAAAGTAGAGTAGAGTAGCATAGAGTAGAGTAGAGTAGAGTAGCATAGAGTAGAGTAGCATAGAGTAGAGTAAAGTAGAGTAGAGTAGCATAGAGTAGAGTAGCATAGAGTAGAGTAAAGTAGAGTAGCATAGAGTAGAGTAAAGTAGAGTAGAGTAGCATAGAGTAGAGTAGAGTAGAGTAGCAGAGAGTAGAGTAGCATAGAGTAGAGTAAAGTAGAGTAGAGTAGCATAGAGTAGAGTAGAGTAGAGTAGCATAGAGTAGAGTAGCATAGAGTAGAGTAAAGTAGAGTAGAGTAGCATAGAGTAGAGTAGAGTAGAGTAGCATAGAGTAGAGTAGCATAGAGTAGAGTAGCATAGAGTAGAGTAAAGTAGAGTAGAGTAGCATAGAGTAGAGTAAAGTAGAGTAGAGTAGCATAGAGTAGAGTAAAGTAGAGTAGAGTAGCATAGAGTAGAGTAAAGTAGAGTAGAGAGCATAGAGTAGAATAAAGTAGCATAGAGTAGAGTAAAGTAGAGTAGAGTAAAGTAGAGTAGAGTAGAGTAAAGTAGAGTAGAGTAGAGTAGAGTAGAGTAAAGTAGAGTAGAGTAGAGAGTAGAGTAAAGTAGAGTAGAGTAGAGTAGAGTAGAGTAGAGTAGAGTAGAGTAGCATAGCATAGAGTAAAGTAGAGTAAAGTAGAGTAGAGTAGCATAGAGTAGAGTAGAGTAGACTACAGAGATTAGAGGCAGCTTGTGAGTCAGTTCAAACAGTATAAAACGGTTGAGTCCAGTTTCTTTTAAGCACTGATCCAGGACACAGTCTATACAGAGACTTGGCTTCTTCCCACCACTAACAACTCAATCCTGGATGAAGCCGAACTTTATCCATCAAATCATTTTCCAGCGGGCGGTTTGGTTCTGGCACTGCTCCAGAATTATGTCACAACAAAATCTGAACAGACCAATCGAATTGTCAGGGCGGGATTCATACAATGATTGACAGATGAGCAACAGAAATGTAAGCAGTGATGTCACATGTTATTTAAGGACATTGGTTTCTGCTCGTTATGGACCAACGGCTCTATGTGTTTTTTTATCGTTGCATTTCCGTGTTTGAACTGTTTGATTCTCTGATCTGTGTTGGTGAATCGACGGTTTGGTAAAGTTCCCCAAGAAAACTGCTGTTGTGATTTAGGGCGATACAAAAAACACACTGAAAAGTGTTTGAAATGTTCTCACAGTTCAGTGTGAGTAGTGTGTGAGTCAGTGTGAGTCAGTGTGCGTCAGTGTGCGTCAGTGTGAGTCAGTGTGAGTCAGTGTGAGTCACTGTGAGTGTGTGTGAGTCACTGTGTGACAGTGTGAGTCAGTGTGAGTCATTGTGAGTGTGTGTGAGTCAGTGTGAGTCAGTGTGCGTCAGTGTGTGTCAGTGTGTGTCAGTGTGAGTCAGTGTGAGTCATTGTGAGTCAGTGTGAGCCAGTGTGCGTCAGTGTGTGTCAGTGTGTGTCAGTGTGAGTCAGTGTGAGTCATTGTGAGTCAGTGTGAGCCAGTGTGCGTCAGTGTGCGTCAGTGTGAGTCAGTGTGAGTCAGTGTGAGTCACTGTGAGTGTGTGTGAGTCACTGTGTGACAGTGTGAGTCAGTGTGAGTCATTGTGAGTGTGTGTGAGTCAGTGTGAGTCAGTGTGCGTCAGTGTGTGTCAGTGTGTGTCAGTGTGAGTCAGTGTGAGTCATTGTGAGTCAGTGTGAGCCAGTGTGCGTCAGTGTGTGTCAGTGTGTGTCAGTGTGAGTCAGTGTGAGTCATTGTGAGTCAGTGTGAGTCAGTGTGCGTCAGTGTGTGTCAGTGTGTGTCAGTGTGAGCGTGTGTGAGTCAGTGTGTGTCAGTGTGTGTCAGTGTGTGTCAGTGTGTGTCAGTGTGAGTCAGTGTGAGTCAGTGTGAGTCACTGTGATGTGTGTGTGTGAGTCACTGTGTGACAGTGTGAGTCAGTGTGAGTCATTGTGAGTGTGTGTGAGTCAGTGTGAGTCAGTGTGTGACAGTGTGTGTCAGTGTGAGTCAGTGTGAGTCAGTGTGAGTCAGTGTGTGACAGTGTGAGTCAGTGTGAGTCAGTGTGTGTCAGTGTGTGTCAGTGTGAGTCAGTGTGAGTCAGTGTGTGTCAGTGTGAGTCAGTGTGAGTCAGTGTGTGTCAGTGTGAGTCAGTGTGTGTCAGTGTGTGTCAGTGTGAGTCAGTGTGTGTCAGTGTGAGTCAGTGTGTGTCAGTGTCAGTCAGTGTGAGTCAGTGTGAGTCAGTGTGAGTCACTGAGTGTGTGTGAGTCAGTGTGTGTCAGTGTGAGTCAGTGTGAGTCAGTGTGAGTCACTGTGAGTGTGTGTGGGTCACTGTGTGACAGTGTGAGTCAGTGTGAGTCATT